AATTGAAGTGCTTTGTTCTTAATGTATGCACAGTGTTCACGAAACGTTAATTTACAGTCAAATAACACACCGAGGTCCTTAGCTACAGTTTTTCTATCTAATAATTGTTCATTAAGTCGATAGTCATACACATGTTTAGAACGCTTATTAGTAAAACTTATAACAAAACATTTTTTAGTTGCATACTGTTTTGTTGGCACCATTCATAAAGTATGTCAATATAACCCTGTAGTTCACAGCAGTCAGGCGACTCATTTATTATCTAGAAGATAGTATGAACTTTCTCTCAGCTTGCACTGTAAACCTGTGCCTGTTTTTACTAAATATTCTACTATGGTTATCTATTAAATATCTTAAAGGACATTTAAGTTTCCGTCAAAATTGTAGCTTGAAAATAAATAGTTGCTATAGCAATATGTTCTTACTTTGCTATTTGGATATTATGATAAGTCCTTAGGGTTTCGCAATTGGTAAACAATAGAAATTATACATTTTTGTTCCTAAATTGCATGATATAGTTTGCTTTATTTTTTAAACGAACAAACTCCGGGAGTTAGTTCACGGGACAGTCAGCCGTGACCATGGAACCTATGGTTTGATAGTTTCAATTAGTTTAATAGTTTCATTTGTAATTTTAATAAGTCACAAGTGAGCTCCACATTTTTGTAAGCTAAGGAAGTTGACGTTTGATACTGTGGGCCAAGCGTGCCTGTTGCTGTAGATAATTCTGTAATTTTATCATCATCATCAACCCGTTCATACATATCACTGCGGGACTGTAAATTTATAGTGACATTCAATATATTTTTATCTACACTAATATCATAAACCCTCTATAATGTGTTCAAAGACCCCAAATTACGAACACCATAAAGATAACTATTTTGTTGAAATTTGTGAAAATGTTATAATTGCATTAAAAAATCAAATTCGATTTTATCATTACATTCAAAAACAAAACAATTTTCATCGATCTCAATTCTAATTAAGTCAAAATGAAGTTTTATTCGAAATGAAATGTCAATAGCAAACAAATTTGACAAATTTCACAAGTTACTTGATATCATTTGATGGAAAAATATAAAGGTATAGCTTAGACTATTCCTTTATTTTTTCCATCCTGTAAGAGGAATAGTCTAAGCTTGATATTGAACCGTCTCCCTCTACGTATTGAACGATATGATAGTTGAGGCCGTCTCTAGTTCGTCTATGAATTAAATAAAAACTAAGGTTGTGAAATGCGTGAGAAAAGTTTTTATTTGCCGCCATTTTGCCAGTCGTAATATGCGGTTCCGGAACGCATCACAGAGAGCTTCTAAGATGTGTCTAAATACAGCAGTGTATGTAACTGAACACAATTAGGCATTAAAACACTATGTGTGATGTAATGTCTTTCATTATGTAACAGTCACAGCTACTGTTTTGTAACTATATATGTAATTATATATGTGACGAGTGTTTATGAATAAAATTTATTAAAAAACTTATTTTATTCATAAACACTCGTCACATACATAATTATTTTTGTTACAACCTTAAGCTAGTTTTATATAATATAATATATAACGCACACACTCAACATAGCCCCGCACTAGGGAAACCCTGTGTCGCGGGTGCCATGGACACACACCTAGACAACCACAAATTACACCCAAACTCACGAGAGAAATAATTGTAGGCCATACAACTATTTCTCTCGGCCCGGGAATCGAACCTGGGACCTCTGCGTGGCAGTCCGGCATGGTAACCGTTCGGCCACGGAGGCAGTTAAATGTAGTGCTTATAAATGTAGTGCTTAGTGTTCTAGACGCTGATTTCTGAGCGAGCTTTACACGGCGACAGTGTCTGCATTTTAAACCTAAAGGATGGAAAAAATAATTAAAATCTATTCTCCATAGAGTAAGTAGAGAATAAAGGCATCATTAGTATGGTTTAGGTTTATGGTTTAGATCATTTTGATAGTCTGTCAAAAGTAGTACGTGAAGGTGTGAAGGTAAGCAAGTAGCTAATAGTTTTAGTGTTAGTAGGAGTAGTAGGATTTGTACGAAACTCCTAGATATCGCAAGCATTGATTTTATTTCCTATTTAACAGGCTACAAAAAATGAAGAGACTCAAGAATCTCTTCATTTTAAAAATTACTATTGAAAATTAGTTTTTACACACACTCAAAGGCGAATAAAATGAGAAAATATTTATGAAAGTCGCCATTTTACCACATAACAATTTCCCATACCTCAAATTAAACAATTAAGTTGTATTCGATTCAAAAGTTGCTGACACGAGTTTATAATCTAGATTAACAACATTAAGGGTCAGTTGAATTAGTTATGGTTCACCTACTCGATAAAAAAAATTACGAAAAATTCACCTCGGCCAATTGGGCGACACAGACTAGAAAGCTTTACTCCCAAAGGAGTATGAATTCGGCCGGAAAAAGAGGTTAAAGTGGCGTTATGCAAAGCTTTTTCGTAAGACGAGATGGCTTTATTGAAGGCTTTTGTCAGGATTCAAACAGTTGAAATCCACGATTGATAACTACCTAGACAATTTTCGTAACTCAACACAAGCACTCGTTGTCAATCAGGGATCTAACTTTACTTTCGAATAAAATATCTGAATTAGGAATAATGTATTCTACAGTTGGACGGATCAATCGAGAAATAACGCCCGCATGTTGTTTAAATCTGCGGACTTGCCTCCTCTTTTCCGGCCGACTTCATATTCCTTTAATAAAAAATAATTAAAGAAATAACGCTTTCTGGCCTGTGGCCCAAGCCCTTAGGCCCGCAATACATGTTGGCCGAGCCTAGGCGAGTGAAGTCCAATACCAACGTGTAGACAGCCTATTTGCCTTGCTTTGCCTTTGCTCGGTGTCCCTCGTCTAGCTAGCCGAGTGGAGGCGAGCGCCAACGTGTATAGGGCTCATTTGGCGTGGCTTGTCACGACTCGCCGTCGACATTGGTGTCGGTTTTTTTACACAAATCAAAGCTCACCTGCGCTCGGCCAATGATGCACACACGTTTACACACAAATATCCCCTAGTTCGCCACTATACAGGACTTGACAATAGAGATAATAAAAATCGGTTCTCACAACTCAAAGTATTAGGGGTTAAAGTATGAAATTGCCGTTTTATTGCAATAGGTTCTTTGAATTTTCATAGAATCTTCATGGTTTGAGGTTTTCAAATGAAACTTTTTTCAAATGGTTTCTGTGATTTTTTTTTTTTTTAATTTGAAACATTTAAATATCGGCTTTCAATTGTTTTTGTTATTCAATTTAAACAAGAAAGATGGATACTGCGAAAATTCGAGTGATTTTTGAATACGAGTTCCGACGCGGAACTAACGCGGCAGAAACAGCCCGCAATATCAATGCTGCGTTTGGAGAGGGGTCTACTAATGAACGCACCGTGCGATTTTGGTTTAAACGCTTTCGTGATGGAAATTTCGACTTAAAGAACGAGTCACGAGGAAGACCGCCCACACAGGTGAATAACGATGAATTAAGAGAGATAGTGGAAGCCGATCCTAGTCAAACTACCCAGGAATTAGCGGCATGGTTTAACGTTACCTTACCCACAATATTGACTCACTTGCGTCAAATCAATAAAATAAAAAAATACGAAAAATGGGTGCCTCATGATTTGACTGATCTGCAGAAAGAAACGCGTGTTGAAACTTGTGTTGCCTTGTTGAACCGGTACAGAAATGAAGGAAAATTGGATCGAATTGTAACATGTGATGAAAAGTGGATTCTTTATGATAACCGGAAAAGAAAAATGCAATGGCTGACCCCAGGTCAAATGCCACAACAGTGTCCTAAAGCAAAACTTACCAATAAAAAGGTAATGGTAACTGTTTGGTGGTCTCAGCATGGTGTTATTTACTATAGTTTTCTCCGATCTGGTCAAGCAATAACGGCAGATGTCTATTGTGCCGAACTCCGAACCATGTTGACAAAACTAGCAGTAAAACAGCCCCGACTCATGAATCGATCTTCACCATTATTGCTCCACGACAACGCGAGACCTCACACAGCACGAGAAACCATTTTGACCCTTCAGGAACTGCAGTTAGAAACCATTCGTCATCCTCCGTATTCACCAGACCTTGCTCCAACGGACTACCATTTTTTTCGTGATTTGGACAATTATCTACGTGACAAGAAGTTTTCTTCCCAGGAGGCAGTACAAAATGCTTTCACACAGTTTGTGCAGTCTAGATCGTCGGAGTTCTATCGCAAAGGCATCAATAACCTTCCCATTAGATGGCAGCAATGTATAGATAATAATGGCAACTATTTTGATTAAATAAATTTGTTAAAAATTTAAAAAATAAACAATTTAGATTTTCAGTACAAATCGGCAATTTCATACTTTAACCCCTATTATATTGAGAGAAAAGCGCCTTGAATTGGAGAAATAGCAAAATCAACCATTAAAGTAATTGCTCCTAAATTAAAGTTAGGCGCTACTTATAAAAATGAATCTACATGCGTGAACAGCCACCCTTCGAGGCGGATGATTTTCTTCAAAATGAAATGGGACCACTATGGAAGTACCCCCTTTCCAATAAAAAAGAATCATGAAAATCGGTTCATAAATACCGGAGTTATCGCGTAACATACATACAAAAAAAGAACATACAGTCGAATTAAGAACCTCCTCCTTTTTTGAAGTTGGTTAAAAACAATCATCAACACTCGAAACTGTCATTCTATACACAGAACAATAGGCACCTTATAGGATCGAAAAAAATAATAGTCATCAATTATGTAAATAAAATAAGCATGTCAATTGAAGTGACATCTGTTAACATCTTTGACAGTATTTTTATCCATTTTATTGTCGGGAATTGTTTTTTTTCTTGAATTTTTTTCTAAATTGCAGTCTTGCATTGATTTATAGAAACTCGATATAAGTAGTAAGATCGTGTGTATAATTCACACATTGGATTATATATTCTTGTTTATGTCATTAAACTAATAAACTACAAAAATGGAGTTACACGAAGACCCTGGTAAGCATCGTGTCCGGGTGGTATTTACACGGAAAATGGAAGAAAGAAAACTGTATATGGAAGAACTCAAAAACCGACGGTACCAGGAAAATAGGCGCTTGTACAAAGAAATTAGAAAACGCGTTGGACCTAGATGGTATCAAGCTCTTAGTACACCACAAAGAGTGGCCCTAGACACTTTACAAAGCAGTATGTATCAAGATATGCTAGAGGCTCGCCCAGGAAGATCAGAAAAAATAATTAAAGTCTTAGGTCTGCAACCACGTCCAAGTCGTATAGATCTTTTAAGTGCCATGTACTACGGGAAGGGTGACCCAAAAGAAATGTTCGCGCAGCTATATCAAATGCTTTACGGGTTTCATTTCAGTACTAAACGTGCTTCATACACATTAAATCAAAGGCTTATACTGTCGGCCATCTTCTACCTTGGACTTGATAATTTGATAGTGTTACTGCGCGAAAGATTTAAACCTGATCCGAAAACGCCTTCACCTCCCGTAAAAAAAAAGAAACCACCGCCGATTCTTCAATCGCCATATCTACAAAAGCTGAAAGCTGTGGAAAGATGGAGTCCCAAGGTATTTAAGCCCAGAGAAGCACAGCCGTTACCCTTGAATTTAGGAGATTTGAACGAACCTTATGAAGAGGAACCTATTGTGCCAAAACCTCCACCTCCACCGCCGCCGCCGCCGCCGCCAAAAAAAAAATTACCTCAGTCTTATTGCGAAAAATTAGCAGGTTATACCAAATTAGAAGCATATCGTCAACAATCACCAGTTCGTCCATTGAAACAAAAAAAGGACATCGGTTCACGTGCCAATCGCATTCATGCTTCTAAATTGATAGTCAATGAAGGAAAAAAAACATATGGTTTAGGACTTGCAATGAAATGTAAAGTAAGGCGAAAAAAACCAAAAGCACCTCGTGCCTTGCAATATAATGGACAATATCTTATTAAAGGAGTACATATTATCAATGGATCTCCTCGTTACGTTTTAGAAGCCGTAGTGAATATGGCTCCACTTGGCGAATTCATTAATGGAGGCCATGTATTCCTAAACGGGGTATATCTGACGATTCACAAAGGTTACACTTCGTATCCAGCACCACCCGTCCCACCACCGTGCGACTGTTTAGAAAAATGGGCAGAGCCTGTGTTCCGGTACGTCAAAAACAACAAATGCCAATGCGGTCATCATTATGACTATGGCAACGACGGAGAATTTGACATCAGTGACCCTCAATACTTTGTAAGACCAAGTGTGAAAGGGGCCCCAATGCATTTTGACTACAACTTAATTTACGAAAGAGATGAGAAAACACTGACTATAGAAAAGGAAATTAAAAAAGCTTGGGACACAGATAGTATACTTTGGGTTGACGATGGTATTGTACCAAATCCGAAAGAAAAGAGAAGGAAAAGAATAAAAAAGTCATCGAAAACTTGTTTGGGAGAGAAGCCAACTATTTCAAACTATTTAAAATGCGCTTTGCGATACATGAGACAAGTGAATATCGCAGCCCGTTTACCGGATGTCTATCTAACACAAGAACTCCAAGAATGGATGCGTTACAGAATCTATGGTCCATTCACGCCCGAGCAGAAGAAAAGACTCCTACTGAGTACCACTTACCATTGGGCTTTCCTAAATTCATTCCCGGGCCACGTAACGCCTAAGAGCAATCCTGAATTCTCAGGCGAGACGACCTGGAAATTCAAAAATGAAATGAGAAAAAAATTTAAAAAATACACTTCTGAATACAAAATTAGAATTTACAAAGCACATGCTTATGTTAACAATTTATTTTGGGCAACAATGTGTCAAGCACAGTTTCCTGACAAACATTTTCGTGAAATATTTTTCTCTTACCTTATTTCACGTATAGGTGATTTGCAGATAAATCACCCTTACAGTACGATGGAGACAGCAGAACGTCGCACTTATATGGAAAAAAAACGTTACATCTGTTCAGTAGGAGAACTTATCGAACGTGTGTAAATTTTTGTCTACAGTCTTACAGCATTTACTACGTCTTGTTCAAATGAAATACAATCTTTACATAAACAAATATCTATATGTATAATATATATTATATAATATAGTCAGCGTTGAAAAGATCGAAATGGTGAAACTGTGGAATCTTGATAAAACCAACCTTGTCAATTAGTTGTTACCTTAAGTTAATAACCATAAAGTTTATTCGAGATGCTGGTGTTTTGAGCACTCTACACCTAGGAAAGAAGCATCGAATAGTTGTTTAATTTCGGATAGTGGACATATTTGGATCTTTTTTTTTCTACAGAGCCAATTATTTTTATTTAATGTTTTAATAGCAAACAAGATGGTGTCACAACACAAAAAATGCTACTTTCTGGCATGTTACTTTCTTTCTAAGACAAAATAATATATTATTCTATAAGAAAGTGTTTTTTCGTCGGGGTAAGTACAAATTACCTTTGTAAACGCTATGTTTTATAAACTTAGCATCTGCTAATAACTTAATACTGGTAAACGCATAAATATTTTCTGTCTGTCTGTCATTGTTTACGCGCCGTGGGAATCGAGCTCGCGCCAACGCGCGGCTCGTAGCCAGAAGGCCGACCGAGCGCGCGCGTGGCGGCGCGTGTTTGCCCGTGGCCGCCTAGCCTGTTCGATCCCGCCACGAATCGGTAACTTCAAGGGCGCGCGTGGCCTGTAACTTTTGGCGCTCATTCATTGACACCGTTCAAATGATTCAAATTATTAACTTATAGTATGAATCTGTAAAACAAAGGTACGTATGTTCACTCAACAAAATCTTAACTACTTAGTGAATGATAACATTAACCAGTGTCGTTTATTTTGGTTTTTAAAAAATGAATGATAACATTAACCAGTGTCGTTTATTTTAGTTTTTAAAAAAAAATTAAGTGTAGGTACTGTAGCCACTGCATAACACAAAAGTTGGTGCTGAAATAGATATGCCTTCAACTTACGACATTTTCGAATGGTAGCTCAAACCAGATAAAATTGGTGAAATTACAGGCACATGGGACATGTTAACTTGTGTCTCAAGGTGACAGGCGTACTGGCAGTGCCCCTCAGATCTTTGCGATTTCAAGCTCTGAGTGGCACTGCAACTGTTATGGACAGATGTGTAGCTTACCACCAGGCCCACGACTTTTTCGTCCCGTGACTTGATATTATAAAATATAAAAATATATATAGACTAAGCTCTTGACAAATATCCGAATACGCGCCGCCTCGCGAGTCATCGCGAGCTCAGTCCATTCAAATCGGCGCGGTGCACACTGGTCGAAATTGAGACCTTTCCTTACAAAGGAATTTAAAAAAATTAAGTGCTGTTTCTCTTCTTGCAACCTGTCAAATATTAATGAAAATGACATAAAACCGAACTGTTTAATTAAACTTATTTCACCGTTCACCATGGTTCACCACAACTAAAAGTGGTCTTGAACATTTTAAATGTATGAAAACGAATGTTTTTTTTAAATATGTCATTACTGTTAAGCTGTGTAGCTGTAGAGTTAAAACTTATTAAAGTTTGTTACCAGAACGATGGTGGTTCTATATGACCTTTGAACTTGACGCACGCACCGCTCTCCGGTGCGGTCCGGTCCGGCAAGTCTCGTTTCAAAAGATAGTTAATAAAAAATGTAATATTGGACAAGTTTTATCCACCAAATTTGAAAACGAAGAAAAAGCCAAGATACGAACGACTCTTTATTTCGTCTCAATCAAAATCAAACCAAATCCAAAAAAAAAGACAAATCAAAATAGACATTCTGTCAGTCGGCCGCCTGCTGGCCGGCTATACCAAGCAGGTATCAAAGAAGGTCATAACATTCCCACCTCCAGTATTGCAAGGCAATACTCAGTCAAGTCAGTCTCGGTCAAGTCAGGCCGGTCTTGGTCAGGTCAGTCTTGATCGGGCCAATATCAGTCTGTCGGATCTGAGTTGGTCGGATCATAAGTCACCTACCATAAAGCTCAGTTAAAGAAAAAAGAAAAAGTTGGGAGGTGAAGAAGTCAAGTCTCAAATGAATATCAATTCGAGTTAGTCGGAGTCTGTACAGATTGTACGTCTGGTCGTCAAAGTTTTGTCACGGGTCTTTTATATGTCCCTGTTATGGTCTTTACCTCAACACCCAACAACCCTAACTTGTCCGTCTGAGCCAGGATAAGTCCGAGTCACTGTTCCCTTCGGCCAGCAATTTCGCGGTTGCTGGTCATCACAAACTATCACGATGTCGCCAATCTTCAGAGATTCTATCCTCGCGAACCTTTTACCACGTTTTGTAAGGGTTAGCAAATATTCTTTAAGCCACCTCTTCCAAAGTAAGCCGGCGAACCTTTGAGACTGTCGCCACGATTTACGGAGTAAGTCATGATCTGTAAAACCCTCAACAGTCTGAGTGATAAAGTCAGTTTGCCCTCCAAACAAGAAATGACTGGGGGTCAGAGGAAGGTCAACACAATGTTCAAGGGTAACGTGATTCAAAGGCCGGCTATTGACCATAAGCTCAGCTTCAGCCAGCAGGGTTGGCAAGGTCTGTTCTGATGGAAACTGCTTTTTTAAAGTTACCCTTAGCGCGGTCTTCACCAATCGCACCATCCTCTCCCAACATCCACCGTGATTAGGAGAATTTGGGCATATGAACTTCCATAAGATGCGACGAATACTGAAAAATTTATTTAATCGGTCGGCGTCAATATTTTCCACGTTGACGTTTCATTTCTTCATCAGCTCCTTTGAAAGTAGTTGCGTTGTCTGACCAAATTTCTAGAGCCATAATGCGCCATAGCCATAATGGCGCTGTCAGCGGTAAGGTCTTAGACGAGTTCAATGTGAATGGCACTGGATTGCAATGGATGGTTAAGCATGTAAACAAAGCTCCGTATCGCTTTTCGTGTCGTCGGCCTATCTTAATAGACATTGGACCGAAATAATCTTAGCCAGTGAACGCAAAAGTCTTAATGGGTGACAATCGACAGACCGGTAATTGACCCATTATTGGAGGTGCCGGGACTGTCGTCTGGCTTCTACACAGTTGGCAAGCTCGAAAAACTGCTCTGATAGCAGAATGTGCGCGGAATATCCAAAACTTTTGTCTAAGATCATTAAGGACCTTTTCTTTGCCACTATGATACTGACTAATCAATAACTTAACAAAATTGTCATTTGGATGAAGAACAATCGGGTTTTTGACGTCATAGCTGGCGTTAGACGCGTCGACGTGACCGCGAGCACGAACAAGTCAATCAACATCCAGAAAAGGAATAAGTGGATAAAGGCTACTGCTTTTGTCAACAGCACCTTTCGTGTGTGGATATCACTCAGAAACGATTTCGCTTGGCTGTCTTTTAAAAGTACAAGTTCTGTTTCTTTAATCTCGTCGGCAATTAGATTGCCGTCGCGATGTGTTCTGTTGATAAGGTTATTTTTTAATCTCAAAAATCAAGCGACAGCTTGGATCTTAAGCTGTCGCTCGCATAATTCGCCAGTAATTTGAAAAACGAGAGAAGTCTAGTAAGCCATCATTTTTCTAGTCAGTTATGAGTAGAACAATTTCTGGGTCCAATTCACTGCTCGATTCAATGGTGTTCTCGACTCGCCATTCACATTCGTCATGTCTAAGAAAGTCTGGTCCATTAATCCAAATAGCGCTTACATCATCAAGAGAGACACTCTTGTAGCAAAATCGGCGTGATTGAATTGAGTGCCTACTCACCCACCTCCAATCTCTCGCGTTAGTCAAGACTACGATCTCGCTGATTCGATGCGCTGCAAAGGGCTTGTATCGTCCAGCATCAGATCGAATCCAGTTCAAAACCGTTTTCGAGTCAGACCAATACACCACACGGCAAATTTCAAGGTCAATGTATTTTTTAATAGCCTGTGCCATTCTCGCTCATAAAACAGCCGCTTGTAGCTCTAGTCTGGGTACACTGAGGGTCGTATTCTAGAACTCTATTCAATGCTCAAGTCAGGATTGCACTAGCAACACAAGCACTGGAAATACGACCCTAATGGCAAGGACTTGAGTATGATTTTCAGTGCTCACTGCAATACTCATGTCCTGACTTGAGTATTGAGTAGAGTTCTGGAATACGACCCTCAGAATCTTTAGGGGGGGCTATGCGGGCTCGCGCCATTATCATTGACACATGATAGCGCCTGTCTTCTAAAATGGATCTCAAATAATCCACCGCAGCAAAGGCTCTGGTGCTCGCGTCACAAAATATATGAACCTCGACGGGTTTCTTGCTAATTTCCTCTTTCAGCAACCATCTGGGTACTTGCAACTCGACCGATTGATTATCTCGTCATACCACCTAATTTGCGATTTCCAAATATCCTGTAAAATAATTCGAGCCCCAATCGTCGTGAAAAGTAAAAAGCCTAAAGGGTCAAAGACGGACATGCACACTTTTAGAACGTGACACTTCGTAGGGCGTCTATCGTCTTGATTGTTTACTATCATCATCGGGTCGCCACTTTACACCTAAAACTCGTTCCAAGGGAACTTCCGAACAGTCGCTGAGGACCTTGCCACCACACGCTTCTCTTCAGGTAAGTGCTGTAAAATATCTTTAGGATTGCTCAAAAAGTTGATAATATTGGAACCGCCTAAAGTATGAATATGGATGACGACATCTACGAGGCATTCTACCTTGTTCGGTAGAATCAACAGATATCGTCCTTGTAATGATGGTGAACAATGGCCTTTACAGCATCGGGATAAGTGTCGTTAAACCTAAGAGCATTGACATTTTTGACATATTGAGCTGATGACGGCGAGCAAATAGCACCAAAAATCATAACGTTCATCTGGTACTTGTCGTTTTCCCACAAAAAACGTTGAGCTGGGCGGTCTCGCTCGATGATGAGAACCTAGTGAAACCTTTCCTGTGTATCTCCTATCACAGCAAACCGATGACACCTGAACTGTAATAACATTCCTGGTAGCGAATTTAAATAATTTGGTCCTGGAAACAAAAAATCATTCAACGACTTGCCGTGTGACTTGGCGGCACAGTCTAAAACAAATCGTAATTTATTTGGCTTATTTACATTGAAAACTGCAAAGTGTGACAAGTACCACGTCCTGTCTGTTTTGAATGCAAATTCATGCGGCGTCAGTTTCCACGCGTAACCTTTCTCTATGTAACTATTGATTTTGTCATAGTATTTCTGCGCGGACTCTGGAAACCTACTCATCTTACGCTTAATACCTTGTAGTCGAGAGCGCGCCTGATCGTAGCTTTCGGGCAGGCAGCAGTCGTCGCTCTGCCACGGAAGTCCGGTCTCCCAGCGTTTGACGTCACTCAGGTACTGGGTAGTGGTTTCTAAAATGTTTAAGGCCTTCTCATCCTCTCGAGAACGAGGACAGACAACCTTTGGTGAAACACCGAAGTCCTCTGTTCTAAAGGTCTTTTTATAAGTCTCATTTAAAACGTCACACGAACATAAATGAAGTACTGTCGCTTCAGAAGGAAAATTATTAGAAAACGGTCCATGTAAAACGTAACCCAAATTAGTCTTAGATATCATACCCCTTTCGGTCCCTATATAATTTGTCGCGTCACAATAAGGTCGATATTGTCCTGTCCGATCAGCAAATCATTCTTTCAACAACAACAACCTTCAATTGATAAGTCACTGTCATTCAAATAGTCTGCCACATAGTCAAATCTTATTAAAAAATTCTTATAAAAAAAAATTACAGGCAATTTCAAATTATGTACAGTCAGCACATCAAATATCTTACAAATGGAATCACTTGAACGACCACGTAAATTAAGCGATACACATTTAGACGAATGATCTAGAGAAGAAATGCCGTGCGCGCCGCATGTCCGCAGAGGGCGCGTCGGGCCGTCGACGCCGACACGTGCAGCGAAGGATGCATCTGTCAGGCTTACCGCCGCTCCCTCGTTCAGCAGGGCTGACGTCTCGAAGCCTCCATTACAACCGCTGACCACTACACGTATAACCTTCGTGACATGGTTAGATTTCGAAGGCCGACTGGTGGCAATTATTGCGTCGTTACACTCAGGTAACGTAGTGGTCACTAATGCGCTCTCGTTGGTAGGTAAGACGCGTTTTGGCTCGGCGTGTAACAATTTATAGTGCGCACGTTCACAACTTGGTACTGGGCATCGTACTCTTGTTCTATATGTCTTTAACTGATGCCGAGAGGACAAACATGAAAAACATAGCTTACTACTAGTCACATATTTCCGTCTGTCTTCTACAGAGAGTCGTAAGAACTTTGACATTTACTCAAATCGTGATCTCCTTTGCACACATTGCATTCATAGTTCGTCGTATTAGTAGTAAAAGTTGGCATATATTTGTCGCTTCTATATGGATAGTAATTTTTCTTGTCGAGTGTACGTGTACTAGAAGTTGAAGTAAATTCTACTGTTGATTTGGCGATCTACATGAACCATTCCGAGACTACTTTTAAGGAGGAATCGACAATGCCTCGTGGTCTCTTGTCGAAACCCCATTGGTACTTAAGAGTTGACAGTAGTTTTGCTAAAACGTCTCGTATTAGAATTGGGTTTCTAAGGTGGAAAGATTGTTCATTAGACAACATTATAGCTACTAAGCTTTGAACGTCCGTAGCATACTTCAGCAATTGGCTCATATCGTCATAGCGTATATCTCGCATGGTTTTAATCTTTGAAGTCATAGCGTCACTTATCAAGTCAGGACAATATTCTCCTCGTCGGAGTAGCCACATAATTTCGTCGACGATTTGAACTGAACGCAAAAAGTAACCATTCTTCGGGTGTTCCAGAGAAGCTTGGTAGGTCCTTAACATGGCCTTGGCATGAACCTTGGAAGCCGCTTTAGGAGAAGAAGTAAAATTGTTTAGGATCTCTAATAGATATGTTTTCACATCTCATGCTCTAAAAGTACGTCATTATAGCCTTACATAGCGGGAATAAAGTGCATCCTTTATTAGGGAATAAAAAGTACCTAATTTTATTTATTTATTTCGAATGAAGAAAACAGTCAAACAGTCAGGAATACCTCAGTAGTACGCTCCGTTTTGGTTCCGTGCCTTTCCGTATAGACGATGACGCCATATTATTTTCCCGATTTAGTGCGTTTGTTGTATCTGTCTGGTTAAAAAAAAGACCGTGAAAACTGCAAAATTTTTGTTCATAATTTTGTTGTACAGCGAAAACGATTGAATTTTTTTTCTCCGAATTGAAGTGAAAAGTAAAGTTTTACCTCGAGACTAAAGCCAATATAAACCGTCGGAGTAATAGACACCTTCGCTAGTATTTAATGGCTCGTTTTAGTCCCTCGATCAAAATATTAAGCATTAAGAGTCAATACGGTTGGATCCGCATAACAGTTAAAGTTATTTAGAAGACGTTACGTTATTACTGTAAAAATGTGCACATATCTAATTTAGAATATTTTTATCAAATATTTTACTTACAAGTTGATAGTACTATTGAAATAATAGTATTGTAATGTCTAAAATATAATATAGGGTCTGAATTACTACCAGATGTAAAATGTGGAATAACTTTGCTTTGCATTATGAGGTCATCAAACACAACATTATCAACACATTAGTTTGCTAAGTAAAGCGCAGTAAAATAAACTATAAAATAAATTGAACTATGAGAAACAATGAGTGTGCGTTATTATTACATGTATATTATTTTCAAATTATTTTGACGGAAAGATGGCAATATCAGCAATATTTTTTATTTCTATCGACGGTAAATACGTGACGGAAACTTATAAATATTACTAACTCCAATATTTTCTTATGATCAACACTGTCGGTTCGGCACCGCCTGATCAATGTATTCGCGCCTGTACACCTTTGCATTCCGTGACCGTGCGTTTACGGTGTCATGACATTAGCAGATCACCAGGTCACAATAATTACATACATAGCTAAAATGTGATCATATTTTTACAATCAAGCTGTTTTCTGTACTGTGACTAAGCACGCTTGCTTATACGACACTATTGAATAGCGCGGTTGCTGACGAGACAGCGCGATGCGACACGTACTAGTATGGGCGATATCGGCAGCCAAAATCCAAGATAGAACACAGTTACCACGTACTCGAATTTTGGCTTGGGCCCCCTGAACTCGATTGGTTCACCAGTGGTTCAGGTCTTGGGCAATATTTTTCTTTCGTACTTCACCTCTTAGGTACTTATACAATAAAATAACAAAATCTTATATTGTTGGTGGTTTACCACTATTTAATGATGGGCATTATAATTCGTGTAGAAATAATACGAGTATTTCCAAACTTCTTTTCTAGCATTGAAATCTGAATCATTCCAACCAGTTTCGAATAATATTAGGAAGTGAACAAGTATTTTCTTTTGACACATTTAACAACACAGGAAGAAAAGAAGACTATTTAACTCGGCCAACAATTAGACCATAGTATTCTATGGTCTAATAATAAATAATTGGAATAGTTACCGAAGCAATGATAATAAAACAATCGTTCTGCATGTATTTTATAATTTAATGGGATAATAACGCATACCTACTTGATTAGGTATACTTACATAAAGTAAATCTTAAAATTAATATTTCACTGTAAGACAGTTAGTTGTAATTACACAATAACTATGATCAATTGAGAAAAAACATTAAATTGTATTGTTCACAGAGGAAGTTCGAAAATTATTGAATAACACGACACTCTTTTGTTTTTTTAATATCTGCCCCACAACACTAGTTGTCCGTATAGTAATTACAGCAAAAGTATTAAAAATATTATTTATTTTCGTCGGTACCACAATTACGCACTACAGACTAAAATGTTCTCTACGGTATTATCATACAAGTCTTATATTAGCTATGTATTATTATAAAAAAGCTATAATATTTTCTTTTAATACAATGCTAGGGTTATAATTGTAGTGTGTGCGTGGTTCAACCACTACAACTCTAGTCTAAGGGATAATCAATTGTCTTTGGTATCATCGTTACAAAAAACAAAACAAACAGGATGCAAACATTTACGGGTTATATTTAAGAATACTGATTGGAAACGAATTAAGTAATGTCATTTAAAGCATCTCATTCCACTTTACACCAACAACACATGGCAATATTGTGATTCAGATTACTAAGCACGTTAGATAATGTTGTTATAAATAAAACATTTCACAGCTATCATACAAGGACGTTAAAATATATAGAAAAATATACTGGTAAGTTATAAATGCATTTTCGATAGTAAGTAATTTTCCAAAATATTGGTTGTGCTCAACATTACGTTTTGAAGTAAATGAAGATAAAATTTTGATAATCATTTTCCTTCCAAAATTAAATAGTAGAAAATAGTTTTAAGACTGCCAACTTACGAATTTTTAACGTTATTAGACGATTCACAGAAACATTATGGGTACCTAGTTATATTTTAACACAGTAGTCAAGTTAACATCTGCGGGTTAAATACGTCTTCAAATTCTTATACGTCAAGTCTCGAACCTTTATACCTTTACGTTCAGGTTCTCACGCTACTACTATAACTCGAGCTTATTATTTCGATGCACGTTAAGACACTGTTCAGGAAACCAAACTGACCAATAAAAAGTTCAGTGATGTGACACCTACTTCATTCTTAACGTTTTTAGACTAATCCTCTGGACGACGAACTAGATCTGCAGCTCTTGATGCGAAGGGTGCGAGGGGTGCGAGGGGTGTGCGGTGTGGCTGGGCGCAGGTGCACGTTGCTGCAGGTGCACCAGCGCGGAAAGCAGGCGCGTGTTAGCCTCGTCAAGCGCTGCGATGCGATGCTCCTGCGCTTCTATTACGCGTTGCTTGTGCGATAGCGCCGCCGCCATTTTGCGCTGCTCGCGGCGCAGCTCTTCCTCCACGCATATTAATCTAAAATAAAAGCAATTTTCCGTGCAATTTATATAAATAAAAGGTAAGACAGCGAGTGTCATTTTGAATGTCAGAAACAAAAATTATGGGGATGTTTACCTTGAGATTATAGCCTTCATCTTGGCATCGGTATGGTCTTGTCCAGGTTCCGTTGGCAATCTTCCACGCAGTAATTCTACTGAACACTTTAGCCTCTCGATTTCTCGTTCATACTAAAGAAAAAAATAAAATATTTAACTAAAAACCTTCTCTAACATAAAATTTTTATTCAGATGTACTATAAAGTGTCTTTTTTACCTGTTCAATAGTTCTGTGATGTTTGGATGCGCGTCGCCTTCCTGTAGTACTGTACAACGTGTCTTCGACCTCGTCTGAGCTGTCGGTGAGGTCTCGCTTGGACTCGAGGCTAAGCCGCCGCTGCAGTTTGTCGCGGCCTCCTACTTCCCTGTCGCTGCGTACTTGCGCGCGGTCACTGGCCTCACTAGACTGCGACTCCCGACTGAATACTCGTGAAGGCGACTCCCTTCGCTCTCTTCCCCCAAAGTGTCTCTCCACATCTTCGTTCAATCTGCTACTCGACATTTTCGCTCCCGAGTACGTCCTATCCAGTGGATAATTGGTCTCTGGAATTGTACTTTCCGTAATAGAGTACTTCTCGGGCGAACCCTTCGCACTTTCCATGTTATACATTGCTTTCTGACTTCGAGATATTTGTAACCGATACATTTCTTTGTTCACTTCTTCCACGTTGGAGTCTGATCTGCTCATAGGATAACCAGAATCGGTTGAGATATGATGAGGCTTACTTTCATATATTGATTCGCCTCGCTGTCCGAAATGCTTCAGATTCAATTGATTTTGGTTTGTAGAATAAGAGAGCATCGGGTTCGTCCTGGGCATTCGAGTCTTGCTACTCTTCCGCAGACTGGGTGAGTTGCTCGATGATTCATCGTCTCTAAGCCTCGGGGAATGACTGTGATTGCTCCTCGGGTACAAGTCTTCATAGTTACAATTATCTCTAGTAAGTTTTCGGTGGGTATTGTTATGGTTCTGCTGGTCATAGTTTCTACCATCATCGTTGAAATTGTTGGAACCTTCTTCGGAGTTAGTTTCGACGTTGTCTGTGCTCAAACCCTCCTCATCTATCGATGAACTGGATGAGCCACACGAACATCGTTTTGAGTTTCTGTTTTCATTGTTCCTCTTTTTCTCCTGCGGTTGACGGTTGTCGTCCATGTTATACACAGGATTCGTAAATACTAAGGGAGCTATCTTTGAAATAGCATTCGTGTTGTTTTGTGCGTTGTCCGCCGTTGTGAAATTTTGTATGCCATACTTTTGAATGTCGTACTCAATTTTCTGTTGTACTGGGCTCTTTGGATAGAATTTTTCGTTTTTGCTATCGTAATACTGCTTGTCTCTCTGTTTTTGGTAGTTTAGCTGCGAGTATCGGCTCATTGGTTGTCCTCCGTTCTCATACGGTTGATGAGGATGCGTTGAGTTTTCGATGGGACTAGAACTTTGGCTGTAGGTAGCAATGCTTTGGTAACCAGAGCTGGCGACGTTTGATAATCCACTGATAGACACATTCGAACCGTTGTTTGTGTAATTTACTTTATTTCCATTTGCGATATTATTATTGTTATTAGATTTTGACTGTGCCAAATTCTTTTTGTTCATTATGAGTTTGTCTTCTACAATGTCGGAATCGTCAGCGTACTTTAAGAGATCCGATAGTTCTTCGAGTGTCGCAGTGTCTTTAATGATGTTTTGCATGTCACTGGTGCAATAGTTGTGATTGATGCTGTCGCTGCTGGGAGATCTTTCAGTGCCGTTATAATTAGAGCTATGGAAATTATTCTGTTGATTGTTATAATTATTTGGTTTGTATCTGTCTTGGAATCTTCTTTCCAAACTTTCATTAACACTATTGTTGGTGCCTTTTGGATATTGATCTGAACTGAAGCCAATTTGTACGACCTTCAGATTTACGCAGTGTTCTTGATTGTTGTATTGTGAGCTGTACCTATCAGGGTTCACGTTTTGATTGGCTGGGCTCGATCCGTACCCATTTCTTGGAAGCGTCGCTGACCGTAAGTTGAAGCTAGGCGATTTAGCGACACCGACGTAAGATCCTTTGTACTTGGATTCTTCTGCGTTAGATTTAGAAGGGCTGATGTTGAACTGGATGCCGTTCTTATTCATAATTGGCGAACTGTGGGCAAAGTTGTTCGCTTGGCCGTTAGTCGTAACCTCTGTGTTGTTTGGTTTGATTGACGAGTTGCACGTTGGATCGTTGAACCTATAAAAGACATACAGTATTAAAACGTGAACAGTCTTACTCATAGCTCAATTCAGGTAGTCATAGCATGCCACTAATACCCGCTTACCTGAATATATTATCAGTAATAGGCGGCGCAGGTCCGATGTCGTTGCTTAGTAGCCTCTTGCTCAATTCATCCAGGATATCGGACAATGGATCTAGCTCCTATAATAAAACATTTCGATTCAATCAAGCTAGAGAAAGAATTTGACAGAAGCCTCCGTAACCTATAAAATACAGACAGTATGATACAGTGGTGAGGCGTCCACATAACTCGATTTCCACCGGCTTGCTTAAAATTTTCCACGTATTATCAAATATTATTACAATTTGTTCTAAATTTTATGTGTAGAATAAGTTAACCAGTGAAATGAAACGTACCTTGTGTGCTAATAAGTTCGACACTGGTATGATGTTTATTCTCATTGTATCAAATTAAAGCTTTATAAAAATCTTAGAACACCTTTTTCACAATCCGTTAGAAGCTAAAATGCACTTTAGGTCTTAGAGAAAACTTTAGTTATTGACGCAGACAAACCTAGCCCGTGATACTCTATTCGAGTTATATCTAAAATTTTTGTCTCATGACTTTTTACAAAACATAATAAATTTACCAATAATAAACTTTTATTTTTTGTTGTACTATTTGACACTTTTTTATTTGGTAGAATAATTTCATACGTGCAAGCGACCTCCGCGACGACTTCCACCCCCGTCCTGCACGGTGTTACTACCGTTAGCGATCTATTTAAATCTATTTATTTTTGTATGAAAGTAAAATCTGACAAATTATTAAAAGTCATGGAACAAAAGTGCTTGTTTATGATGTGAGTAACAATAGCTCTCCGAGGTTACTAGTATTTTAAAAATAACTCTGTATATATTTTTTTGTTAAGAGATGCAGCAAAACTAAATATATTTCTCATACGGCCCTACGGCGATAATGATTCTTTTTATTTCTACGCTGTATGTCCCTCTGCTGGTAATTGCCTACTGTAGCGTCATATCAAATATATAAATACTTTTGTCTTAGTGTAATTATATTTTTGTAATATTAGAGCACTATTTATATTAGAGAGTGTATTTGGTCTTGAGTACTGTTTCCGTTGCTACATTGTTAGGTTGGCAGCGCCAGTAGCTTTCATTGATGGCGCCACAGCAATTTTAGTTAATGGCGCCACCATAGATTATGTCGGTGGCGCCATAATTGCAACCCTACCAAAATACCGCTAAATACAGCTAAAGTATTCTTAATTCGTAATAGTCGAGGGCTCGGCATTCTGTTTGTTGGAGTTTCAGAGGACAGTGCCTCTCATTTTACCGTGCCTTATTACCATGCAAACTGTACAATCATAATAATCTTCATATTAATAAACGAAAAAACAATGAGTTGGAATTTTATTTCTGGAACTTCCTAATACTATTTACCGCCCCTATAACACAATGTATTATTACGTACCTGTATCCTGCCAGCAGGTAACTTCGGCAGACTATCCACGAGCAATGCATGTAGCGTGGCCATCTGCTTGCCAAGATCGACGTGTGGCGCCCATTCTGGATCCACTTCAACAGCTGGAGGACACTCCCCACGGGAACCTTCCGATCCCGCGGTAGACCCCTGGGAGGTGGACGAATTCCGATTGCTGCCTTCTTGATGTTGTTGTTGGATTTGTTGCTGTTGCTGCTCTAGCGGTCGTGACTGGAAAAAAATTATAATTTGAATAGCAAAGATAGATCTTTGCTAGATCTCCATAGATGGAGATATATCATATATCCAAAAAACTGCCTCGGTGACCGAACGGTTACCATGCCATGACTACCACGCAGATGGTTCGATTTAGTCAAATTTAGAGAAATATTTGTATGGCCTACATTTATTTCTCTCGTGAGGTTGGGTATAATTTGTGGTTGTCTATGAGTGTGTCCATGGTTTCTTTTCTTTGTATCTTATCATATATATCCAGGAAATCTTAATATTGCTATATTATATGGTATGTTCTATACATCTGGCGCACCCTGGGTAACAATCGATGAGTCCTTGCTTGGCAAATCCTTTCATCATGATGGCAAGTATTATAGTATGTGCTATCGATACGACAAGCAGAAAATTGTATTGCGATGACAAACTCAAGTGATAATCGTAAATCTAATGTGGGGTCGGGCTTAAAAAAGGACTTACAGATATGGCTCTCAAGAAGGACTTCATGTTGGGAGCCTCAAGCTCGAGGAAGTCGTTGAGGAACTCCATGAAGGCCTCTTTGCCCTGGAAGCGTGTGAAGTTAGCCAGCGTCTGCAGCGTCTTCGCCACCAGCGTCAGGTTACGCGCCGCCCGCTCATTCGGGTATTCTGTAGAAACGTAATAGTACATTGTATATTAAGGGTGGCAAATAAGGAATTACGAACAAGACTCTATTAGAAGCGCGTAGTCGAAGATTGATGGCTTTCGGAGTCGAGGTTCGTAATTCCCGTACTGCCGCCCGTGAAACATACCATGTTTTGTTACACTTGCATGTAAATAGTACGTAACTTGACTATAATGCCCCAAATAAAACCCTCGGACCATTTTTCTTCTCATTAAAGCCATGGTCGTGTAATGAGGAGAAAAAAGACCCTGAGTCTTTATAGTCAAGTTAGCCAGCTGCATGCATCATACTATTTACGTGCAAGCTTAATGGAAATGTTATTATTCTCGCGCGTCCTTCGAGATTGGCATGACAATGGCACTTGTAGTAACGCATATGCTTGCGAACGCGTGTGGTGTAGGAGTGGTCATACATAATATGCCAACCTCGTTACTCGTATCTCGTGACAATCTCAAAAAATTTCTTCTGACGATGCAGCTTTCGTATCATTATAAACGAACTACACTTACAGGTAAGTTCGTTCACCAATATTATATCAGATCTTCAATGATCACTGTCCTACAATGCTCCTATCGTCCAAACCCTCGGATCATAGTCATAAGACGTATGACATTAAAACCTGATCATTGTCCGTTCTAGGTACACAATATTTAATTCATTCCATCAAATAAACACTGTCTGTTGTATTTAAAATGAATTCAACTCTTTCCAAGCATACATAAGAACAAAATCCAAAGTGTAAATTACAGCGAGCTGTTGACTGTAGTATGTTCAAGTACAATACGGACTCATATAACAGAGTACAATATAAAAAGGGGACAACTAGTCACTCTTAAAACTATGTAGTTAGAGTGTCTTTTGCTTTGCAAGCATTGGTTTAAGACGAAATTAAATTTAGTGCAAAATTGGTATGTTGTAAAAAGGTTACCATATTAAATAAGAATAACTTACCGTGAATGATACCAAAGAGACTCGGAGATAAAATAGCTGGACACAGGAAGCGTAGAAAAATAGATGCACTGATCAAATTATCGGAAATATCTTCTCGCCCCATGGATGTCAATCTGTCAACAACAAAGCCAATTCGGTTTATTCATCAAATATCGAAAAAATAATAAATACACTGCCACTGCGCCTGTCACCCCGAGACGTAAGTTGACAAGTCCCATTTTATCAGCACCCCATCAAAGCAGTAATGCTCACATTACTGATTAACTCTTTCTCCTGAAGGAGCTCTACTGCTACGGAACTTTAAAACTTAAAATTAATTAAAATCAAAATTCTAAAATAGTCGTTAGAATGTAAAACACTCTCCCCTAAAATTTTTTTCGAAATGTTGCTTATGCCCTTTCTGCAAAACACCAACGATCCAATAGTGTATAAGAATACAAAATTCATCATATCGAAAATGAAGCAAAGAAAGTAGATGGCCACATAGTAAAGGTCACAAAATATCAGTTCTCTATCTAATAACGTATTTTGTAATAGTACATGGTGTATGAACGGTGGCAAATAAGAAATTACCAACGACAGTTTGTTAGAAGTTTAATGACTCGAGGTTTGTAATTTTTACCGACTGTGGTACATACAATGTTTTTCATCACTTTTGCGAGGAATTAGGTACAACAATAATTTATTTCTTGTATGAATAAATATTACTTCACAACACAACATTTACGGATTTTGCAAAAAGCGGGTTTTTTGTGTTTTTTTAACACATTTAAACTAAAGTGTTATAAAAGGCACAGACGCATGCAGCCACAAAGTGTTACGTATAAAATAAATAATTTCCAAATTCTAAAAATACTGCAGAATTTAAATTCACACAAAAAATTTTGTGTAATATGGTTAAATTGCAAATGTTTGGTTTTTTTTATACTTCGAGTTTATGTGAAATATACGTTCAGATTTTTCGAACATAAAAAAATAATCTTGACTATAATGTAATTAAAAAGCCCATGGGCATAATTTAGGACATTACGGTGGACTTTGCATATCATGACACTGTTTACGAGTAAATATGATGAAAATGTAAATAGTGAACAATCCCGAGAAGAATACATGATTCATGGTCATGGTTTGCAAGTCGTACCTTTCACGAAAGGTAGCGAAGCAGTCTCGGAGTGGCGGCGGGAACCTCGGAGCCGACGCTGCGATGGCCCGCCACGCGAGCGTGACGGCGTCCCGCAGGGCGGCCTGCTGCCTCCGCAAAGCCGCACCGCTACCCGCCCGCAGTGGATCCACTTCACATTCCGCCGCACCCGGACCCGCCGCGGTCGCTACTGCTTCGCCTAAAGTGTCCTATCAAGCGAGAATATTCGAGCTTTAACCCTCATGTCCACATTTTTTTATATATACTGACCGATGTGATCCCACTAAGGTACGAGTTTGTAATGCCTATTCGTATACGTCGTATCGCATTTATGTGTAAGTGCCCTGAAGGCCTGCTAAAAGCGCGCGATAGGAATGAAATATTTAATTCAATTGAATCAGTTAAAGGATGAGTGTTATTATGTCAGTTAAACAATACTAACTGCGTGTTGTATACCTATTTTTGGTGACATTGTTTTTTATATTTTAAACAGAGTTACGGAATTAGCCGCATGACACTAACCTGCAGGTACTGATCACCGACAAGTTTCAGGTAAGCCTCCATGCTCTTGGTGGCGAGCGAGTTGCCCCGAAAGGTGAGGGAGTGGTCGCCGGTTCGTCGCACGTCTAACGCCACCACGTCCGCAAGGTAACGCGGCGCGAGACCGGCGCCCGCCATGCATAGCACCAGGGCACAGCCTATATCCTCCTTTGCTTTGACTCCTATGAATAAAATACAAACGTTTATTTGTTAAACGATTTCAACTATCTCGATATTTTTCTAATGAAATTTATATAAATTAAAGGCTCCTATAATAACATAATCTAACAAAGTGTACATAAAACCTCAGAAGCTTAAATTAAAAGAAACAAGCAACTTCATATTGTACAATTTGAAACGATGACGTTTTGAAAGGTACGGTAAAACGTCGGTAATCTACTAGTAGGACTACCACGACAGGGCGCAACTTGCGCGAGAGCGACATAAAGTGCGAGATATCTATGCGAGAATATCACTGTCTCGCGCTTTATGTCAGTCTCACGGAAGTTGTGTTCTGTCGTGGTAGCGCTCCAGGACCCCGTAAATCTGTAAGTATTTTAACAATGTATTACCTCATTCACAACTCAATTTCAAGTCTTGATATTATTGATACAAAAATTGTACAAACACAACAAAAAGGCTTTGATCCGGCTGGACTTGACCCAACGACTGCCAAACCGGAGCTACCTCTCTCCCAACGCAGTTGCGGAATGAGTCTCCAGTCTTGATTTTGTTTTTTCACAATTTTCCATAAACCAATCCGAATCGAATACAATAAGGTTGTACATATTTTGTCATAACTCTGTCCCGAGGCATGTAAGGATTTCACCTACTGTGATTTTTTTAATCAATTACAATAACATCACTTACCGATAACGGGTTCAAGATATTCACAAAGTCGTCTATAGTTCCTCTTCAAGTACTCAAGGAATCTTGCGTAGTGGTCCAATGGCAGTACATCGACGCACTGATAGCGGCACTTGATGCGCAGCGCCGGCGCCGGCGCGGGAGGGGCGCGACCGCCCGGCGACTGCGGTTTGTCGCCCTCCGACAAGGGGTACCACCGCTCGTTGAGGTATCGCGACGATACGTCGTCGACCGGGATGCGAACTGTACCTGTAATGTCTCACAATTAGAATAACATACGATAACGTTTATTTATTGTCACAAAAACTGCAGATTTTCTATCGACCGATATTTCGGTAGAGTCCTCAACCAGTATGGGAAAAAACATTATAACGATGCGGTATTGCCTGATAAATAAGTTTGATGGGCTGCTCGATTGCCTTCAAACTGATCTGTAGATGAACTATAAACGGAATACTAAATCAATATGGCGCTATACACCGCGCGCACGTTTCACGATTGTTAAGTCTGCCCAAGCACCCAATAATTTGGGTTTCTCTTCTTGATAAATTTTATTTTATGATTATAATTTTCATTATGCAACCAACCTCTTCAAGAGCAGTTTACCAACTACCAAAATTTTTCGTTATCATGTTACCGATTATTCGCTGGTCTTCGGACTTGCCACAAACCAGACTGTTTAGTTGGCCCAGCGTGCCTGCCAATAGCTCAATCTTTATTAGCTATAGGCGGATATAAAACCACAGTTTACACGGGTCATAATTATTAATTAATATCGATGTCACATAACAGTGGTTTCTTTGCATATATGTATCTTTATGCAGAAATATATTGGTCAATACTGACCGACTAGGGCGTGCTTGTCCCTTTTGCGCGCGCGCCGTTCGGGCTCGCGATACACGTTCACATGGATGTTGCCCACAGCCGGCAGTCCGCTGAATTCGTACACCTCGCCCCAGAAACATAGCTCGCTCTTTAATTTCGATGACGATCTGTAACAAATGCGGTGCTTGATATACATACATAAATTAATAATATATACTCACACGAGTTCATTTTGACAAAGTTAGATGTAGATAATGACCAAATGAAGCAACAGAATGATTCCGATGATTTTGTTTCAATTTGATTCGAACACCGTATAGTTTCATAAGAAATGTTACTTTTGGGAATGAATCAAAGCAATACTCATTCAATATGGTAGATGCGTAGACATAGCTTCTCAATAAAGTAACTAAATTACATTTCCTATAGTCCAGGGTATTAGAGAAAAAAATAAATAAAAGATGCATAAACTTCTGACCTTTTATATGAATTTTTAGTAGTTGAGCCGTATAATTTGGAAACTCTCGTCTCACAATATTAGTCACAGAAATCTAAAATTTATTTAGATTTTTGTGCTTTAGATCGTATCAACTGAATGAGTCATTAAGTTTGACTAGTCAAAATACACAATACACAGTCTACATATCACACATGATAACTAACATAGTATTATCTCAAAAATTGTGTAATGTTCTATTTTATCTCAAAATTGTCTTGTATCTCCAAAATTTCGCTATATTTATGTGTCATTGATATACGATTTAATTTCAAAGTGACAGGACAACACTGTCGCTTTAAAAGTAAATAGGTAATATTAATATAGGTAACTTAAAGCCATTTTGAGATAATACTATGTTAGTTGTCATGTGCGATACCTGTACTGACATTTAAATCAAAGTGTTATTTTAATTAACAAAAAGACAAAAACCTTGCGTAAAGCGTATCGTCGAGCAAAATCTCGCAGTAGTACCGCTTCTTGGGCGGTATAGCCTTCGCTTCGAGCAGCCACAGCTTGACGGTCCGCTCGCAGCGCCGCGTGCGTACCTCATCCGGCCGTGCTGCTTGCCGCAAGCTGGAAAGACGTTTCGATTCCAACGATAACTCAATAACAACAAATAATGCAGAAGTCTGTACGAGACAAACCATTAAAATTCCAAAGAAAAATCCCTTGAAAGGGCTAAAATGGAGGATCCATGGATGGATCCAATTAGAACATTTAATTATGTTTAAAATGTGAACAAAATAAGAAATGATTTTATAATCCAATAAGTCACCGTGTTTAGTTTTTGCCTTGTCAATGCAGCCAAGTGAAACAGGCATTGACCTAACAGGCGTCAGTTTTTATAATGTTTGTATCCAAAACTATAAGCCATTACCATTAAGCCAGTACCATTGGGATTCACATGGAAATGATTTGTGTTTTTAAAATTTCGAACATGTGGTTTATTACATGTGTGGTTTATTACATATGTGGTTTTCTTATGTAACTCAACTCAATTTTATGTTAGTAAAATTTAATTTTGTCTGAAATTCTATTAGAAAAAATCTGGACTGGCACGCGTTACTCAAATTAAATAAAATTACTATTGCTTTATTAATGGTTTTACGTAAGTATAAATAATCATGTTTGAACACCTCTAATAACTTTTGGTGCTTTTGGCAAAAGAATGACAGTTCTTTATTTTAAGTTTCTTATTGTATATTTTTGTTCGAAGAGATTATGCGTGCAAACACGCTCTCTCATTAGGAAAAGTATTATTTAATCAAATTTAAAAAATCGCGCGGCCTTGCCACATGATATTGTTGTGTCATTTCATTACTGCACATTCAAAACAAAAAACAAGGAACGTACCCACCTCACATCACTACATAACCCCGTGTAGGTACTTTGACCTTTCCCGATATTTCACCAACATCATCTGACCAGATTTTTTCCTCCGATACAAAGAAATAATGCTTTCATGAAATGTTTACCTTAAAAACATTTTTTTATATAATACCAAGAGACGGCATGAACAAGTCGTGCGCCAAGTGCAAAGCGACACGCCTGACCATAACAGTTGGAGTACCACTCAGAGCTTTAAATCGCAAAGACCTGAGGAGCACTGCCACTGCGCCCTTCACCCTGAAACATAAGTTGAGAAGTCCCATGTGCCTGTAATTTCCCCAGCATCCTTACACTTCAAAACCGTAGTAATGCTCACTTTACCGCTTGGCGGTAGAAATAGGTAAGGCGGCAGTAGTACCCTGGATGAACTATTTCACAAAGAACTCTACTACAATAAACATGGTAACTTTTATTTATTTCTATGAAAAACTTTTACCATTAAAAATGTCTTAATAGCGTCAAAGATTTCATGCGTCTATTATTATTTTTACAGTCCAGGATAAAAAACACACCGTATTATGCAAGCGTCCTGTTGCACCGACCACAAGCGACCTCCCTCAAAGCCTAAAATCAATGGAGGGTATCAAATTAATCTTTTAATAAAGTACCCGCCAGTACGGGAAGTTCCCATGGGAATCTTGGTTTGGGACACAATTAAGTTCTTAATTGCGTTTCCTTACACGCAAAGTTGTAGAAATTATATCCTGCAGCCAAGTTGCGGGTTTAAGACCGGTTTAGTGCTGGGATCCTGTAGTTATGCCCACATAGAGTTTATTATCTTGCTTATTTTAAGCGACATAAGGCATGCGGGGAATGCTTAACAACTTGTAGCGACGTGCGGAACTAATTATTATCGCCTGGGAATTTAAATTTCATGTTTTTTGGCAGGTGCTTCCAACATCTAAGTTTGTTTTATATAAATAAATATGAAAATGCTAAACGACTCTGTAAAATCCCGTACGAAACAAAGTTACCATCTATTGAAATGCGCCATTGTCTTTCCTGGTTGTATCTTAAAAAATAATTATATTAACTATTTAACACTTAATTACTTTTCTAGACATTCGGTCACCCATATCTATTGACTAAAGTGAAAATTACATTTTCATTTAAATTTGTTTTCAATTCATTACTAACAACAGCTGTTAAGACATATGTAATACTAATCAATGGATCCTAGTTATCTGAATAAGGAACTTAAATATTATTATAGTAATAACATTATACGTGGGGCGCACTATAAGTTTCTGGAATGAATAAGAAAAAAATACTATAAATGGTCAGAAACGAATTTATTGTTTCTCAAAATATTCTCCGTTAGCGTTAAGCGTTAATGCACTTTTTCATACGAATGAACCAATTTTGAAAACATTTATACCACTCCTCCGTAACAATCTCTGAAACATATTTTTCATACTCTTCGACAGCCTCTTCAGGTGACAAAAATCGTTGACCGCGTAACTGGTTCTTATTTTTTGGAAATAAATAAAAGTCAAAAAGTGCCAGGTCGGGACTGTACTGTATGCGGGATGGCTCATAAGGTCAACGTTGTTCACCTTCAAAAATTCATTTGTTTGTCTGGCCGTGGGAGAACTGGCATTATCGTGGTGCAAGGTGATACGGCGTTTACGGTTATTTTTACGGAGTTTGTCAATAACTTTTTTTTTATAGTAATGTCAATAACTTCCGGCAAACAAATGGTCGTCTACCAATCACTATTCACGGTACCACGGTTCTCCAAAGCCACAGTAGCCACGTGTCCAGTTTTATTAAAAAAAGAAGCCATCATCCGCTTAGAGGCACTTTGCAAGCGCGCCACTTTGGTTAGTTTCAGCTCATCTCGAATCGAGCATACGCTCGATTGCTGCTTTGTTTTGGGATCGTAACTATAAATCCATGTTTCGTCACCTGTTACTATGTCCCACACCAAATTTGACGCCCCTTTGTTGAATCTGGTAAGCATGGCATTGCACCAAGACGCGTGACGTGATCCGTTTTTGAGCCTTAGTCATATTGTGTGGGATCCACCGAGAGCAAAGTTTTTTCACACCCAAATCTTTGTGTAGTATTGATTGTATTTGACTCATGCCTATGCCTAAAGATGCTCGAATCTCATGGTATGTCACATGTCCGTTTGTTTTGATCATACGGCGCACAGCATCGATGTTTTCGTTGTTCACAGCAGTGGACGAGCGACCATCACGAAATTCGTCACTGAGGTTCACACGACCGCGTTTGAATTCTGCAAACCAGCCATAAATAGTCGTCTTGCATGGTGCTTCATCGCCAAAAGCAATTTAAAGCCGAACGAAGCTCCGTTGAGCTGTCAAATTACACTTAAAATCGTAGAAAATCATACTACGAAAATTTTCACGAGCTAAATCCATGGTGATGTAGACAACCAATTTCTAAAATGACGCCACAATGTAAAAACAAGTTACAGTCAGATGAAACAAACTGTATTCTACAGCCAAAGAGTTCCGTTTTCAAATGTTGTAATCACTTTTTAAATATTGTTTATGTAAGTGGCCAGTTCTGGAAACTTATAGTGCGCCCTATGTATGTCACAAACAAAAATTATATGTGAAACTAGTTATTTGGGCACACCGTAGGTGTCTGCAAAATTGATAATTTTTAGGCACCAGGGTAGTTGTCACAAGAAAATCACCTGTATATCCAGCGGTCCCGTTCTTTTCGCGAGGCGCAGGCGAAGTAGCGAGGCGCCCGGTTCTCTGCGCTGAGAGCGAAGCAATGTGGCCGGCCCAGCACTGAAGAGTGAAGTGCGCGTATTTCTACCTGCAATTACAGAAATGACAACCTTTTTATCAACTTTTTACAAAATTTCAATTGCATGAATAAAGAAATAACGCACATACTCGCGGATGCCATGGACACACACATAAACTACCACAAATCACACCCAAACTCACGATAGAAATAAATGTAGGTCATACTAATATTTCTCCCTGTCTGGGATTCGAACCCAAGACTATATGGCAAACCAGGATGGTAACCGTTCGGCCACGGAGGCAGCCGAGTAGAAGAATTATTAAATTACAGAGAACTGTTCCCTAATCTTTACTGTCTAATTTACGAGGGCACAATAGTACGCTTTTCAAATATTGTATTCATGAAAAAAGCTTTAACAAAACTAATTTCATTATTTATTTATTTTATCTTTATTTATTTAGGAACTTTTATACAATGTATATGCCAGTTCCATCGTATCCTAAACTATAGCTTACATGTCTGGGTGGCGCTGCTGGAGAGCCGATTCAACAAATAATAACAGTTTTTTTGCCTGCTTCGTGTGGGGATTGCTTAATATACAATTTATAGCACCTAAGGATGTTCGGTTGATTTGCAGGTCTCTCATCAACGCCGCCCGCTGTTGTTCGTACCGGACACATTCCAGTAACAAATGATATGCCTTTTCCACTTCTCCACATAACAATTAAGTGTTTATTAGGTGATACTTACTTGATTAGGCGGTCCCAAGTCCATTGTGGACACGGCGGGCGAGTGTGCTGACAGAAGGCTTTCGTGAGATCTGAAACGACAAGAAAACTCTTATCAGTTAAAGAAATAAACTTTTAAAATGATATTAAAATTATTTTAATATTTTAGCCAATCATTGTAATATTTTGCATTGGCAATTGCTACGATTACGGCTTAAAATAAATCTATAATCTATTTACTTTAAGAATACAGAAGGTGAAGGTCATCTTATTGTAACTCATGAAATAATTATCATAACATAAATAAATAATTGCGTAATCGGATTCTCTGAATTTTCAAGACAATAATACGGTTCTTTGTGAAATCATATTATTTATAAACAGAGCTATTAATATTCATGGTTGAGAAAACAGTAAAGTTCTTTACGAGTATTAACAAGAAACTTTCGTGGCAAGACGTATGAAAACATATCCAAGTTACTACTCAAATTGAGTCCTAATTTCAATAAAGTTGTTTCGTGTTTATGGCGGGGAAGTAATTAAAGAGCGTCAGTAAATAACTACAGCAGACAGGTGGGGCGACGAAGCGACACTCCCACATACAACGCACCTAACAAGTCTGGATAACGCTACAAAGTCACGACATGTAATGTAACCAATTGACACATATTATGTACTTAATGTGACCATTGTATGATGAGTTGTGGCCGTAGAACTTAGCTCAAACGTATTAAATAAAATATCAATCGAGGTATTTACTAAATATTATATTATAATCTCATCGAGTTTTATTTGGGAACCAACATGAGGAAACCAGCGTTTCAATAAATCGTGAAAAGAAATGTGATATGACACATGAAGACGGCAGTATGACTATACCTCTTCTCTAGAAATAATAATAATAATAATTTATTGTTCAATAAAGGCTTACATAAAGAAAAGATCCCAACCTAAAACGCATATAGGTTAACCTCGACACCGTTATAATTGCTTATAATTGGTAAGAGTATATTGACGCCATTCACCTCACTAAGAGCGATCGATAGTACGTACACTGGTCATAATTTGCGTGGACTTGCCGGCTCTTCCGTGTACCAAGCTAATTATGATAAGGACCTATCTGTATCATAAAGTCACTGGAGTGCGTTAATTAGCTTTCATAAAGGGGTTATAACGCGACAAACACGACAGTTGCGACATGACAGAAAGTGTTAAAACGCCTAAGGCTGTATTAATTTCTAAATCAGAGATCGTTCTTAGTTTCTCTTAACGCCATGAAATTATTGCAATCACAGAATATTTGTATGTAAAGCGAATCTCTCAACGATTACGATCAAAATTGAAGCGTTGGGGGCAATCAAAATAAATTTCAAACCCTACATAAGTTTTAAGTATATACTCATGAATATGTAGTTACCAAGTAATACGCAACTTGATTACATAATAACAGTCAATCAGTGAACTTGTCTACGCGAGGCCAAAGAAAATATAGGCGAATATCAAATTACAGGTTAAAAGAGACTGCTACACGATTTGGAAGGCAAGTGGGAAGGCGAAAGATCACTTGAAACGGCGATATTTTGTACCTTTGAAATCAAGATATTTTTATTTTCTTGAAGTTGGTTAAAGTTGATAAAAGATTTTAAAACATTGTCTCGACAACAACGATTAATAGTTACGTTTTATAGAAATGAAACGTGAGTCATCCGGTAAATCTGTACTTTTAGAAGAAAAGTACCGAATTGTTCTATTTATATTCAAAACTAAAGACGCCTATTTTCTTTTAATTATTGCAATGTCATACCTTGACGTCCGTAAAGCATGACTGGTTGGATGTGTAGGCACTGCCGCCAAAGCTCGTTCTCTCTCCAACTTTGTGGCTGATTTGGTTCTCTTCAGTGGGTTGCTGCGAAAAGACCTCTTCGAGAAGAAGAAGGACGCAAGCCGTGAAGGGCTGTGCTGAGCCTGTGCCCCTGGCACCGGTGTGCTCGGCGCCGATCCCCGCCGACATGCTTTCTCGTATGACGTGTCTGTAGACAAAGATAAACACCATTAGATAGCACAATCTCGAGTAATACAGTTCAGTTCGAAAGAATAACACAACTAAGAATTAGGTTAGTGAGTTTCATTTTCTCGTGATAAAACATTGCGTTTTTATACGATTGCCGACAAAAATTGCGGTGAATTTTCGCGAAACACTTCATCTGCTCCAGTGATCAGTGTAGCGAAATAGATGATATGGCAATCGACGACTTCATAAAATACGTGATGTGAGTGAGATGAGGTACAAGAACCAGTTTAGTTTCACAATATTTTGTTTTCTCCATCCAGACATTTATACCGTAAAACTTTCTTGTTTTGCATTAGGTTTGTTCACTTCTGATCAATGCACGTATTAAATAAAAGTTCTTTTAAATAAAACCAGTAGCGTTTTTTATTATTTAACGAAGTTAGACAAAATGAACGATTACGCACGATTAAAGGTAAATAAATAATCAAAAGTAAATAGGAAGTAGTTTACACAAAAATTCCCAAAGCCGTTGTAGCAACGTCGGCTGCATAGCGTCCGATTGAGCAATACAATTGACACTGATTCGCGACAGCCTTCAGATCGTGGCCGTGACTGAAACAATTGTGGGTAATAACGCAGTATGCCACCCGAGTTCTCGTGTTACTGATGCACTCGCATAACATTCCAATCGTTTTGCACAGGACGGTGTAATTTTATGCTATCCGCTACACCAATGGCATCTATATATGAAAGCATAGTTTAGGTACTTATAATATCAAGTAATTCCCAGATAGCTAATCTAATATAGATAAGTTAGGAATAAGGCAAATAATAAACGATAAATATTTTACGAGTCAAAAACCGAATTAAACAATAAATTAAAGCCAATATCTACTAATTCCTGTGCAAAAACAGCAGATACTTATGCAGTTACAAAATGAACGACACAACATGAGGGCAATCTATATGGCGTGGTTTCCGGCGGAAATTGTGCGCACGCCGCCCGTGACCGATCCTGATGACAGTCAATCGGTGTCAAACTTGCAAGTGTTTTGTTACGGTGCTGTACTCGTAATAAAAACGTGGACGCGCATGTGGCCGACCAGACTGCCGTCGCAAACAGGGTTGTCCTATATGACAATACATTAGAGTTTTATCATAGAAAGTATAAATAGTAGCAGTAGAGCTCCTTGTAATAGATTTCGTCCAGGGAAGTACTGTCACCTTATCTATTCCCACCCCAAAGCAGTAATGTGAGCATTATTGCGTTCCGGTTTTGAGAGATAGGGGTGTTCTGGTGAAATCACAGGCACATGGGACTTGTAAAGTTATGTCTCAGGATAGTGAGCGCAGTAGAAGTGCCCCTCAGACCTTTGCAATCTGTGAGGCACTGCAAGTGTTATGGACAGGCGTGTCGTTTTCCACCAGGCGCACGACTTGTTCGTTCCGTCATTTGGTATCATAAAAAAAATAGAGGACAATAACCAATTCCCTAGCAAAGAGAAACTAATATCCTATTTGTTAGTTACATTAAATACACACTATTCTTTAATGTAACAATTAGTATCATGATTCAATAACTTCCTGTGAGGTGCAAAACTGCATATACCTTCTGCAAAAGGTTGTATGTATAAAGTAGTAACAGAGTCAACGACTTAGGCGTGCGAACCCGACATGTGTTGCATGGAAACCATTACCGTTATTTGGTATAGTTTGTGCCACAATATTGCACCCTTTGACTTGTATGAAGACTGATACACTAAATTAGAAAGCCCTTCAAATGTAGATATTCAAAATACACCAAATGAAATAATTGAGTGAGAATTAAGGCATACTGACTCTATTATGTAACCTCTGAACAGTTTTTAGTATTTATATAAAAGGTCTAATATTTTTTTTATATTTTATCAATGTACATTTTATTTAAGTATATCTAAATAGCACTAATGTAAAATAATAAATTGACTGATATCATCAGCGATCGTAATAGGTAGCATATAAATAAATTTTAAGGATATATATCCCACTAAAATCCAAGAAAGTAATTTATTGTATGTTGTACTTTATTTCTTTGTGGGTGCGTTCCATAGGGATCGAAATGATAATTATCATTGAAAATTATCACGATAGTTATCATGAATACACATAGATAATTTTCTTGATTTTATAAAATTAATCGTTAGAACAAAATTCAATATCGTAGGCATGTATTTGCATCAAATCGTGTTTTCTTCGTGTTTATTTAGTTTTCTCACTGTTTGTCATTTCTAATAAAAAATTTAATAAACGAAACTATGAATCAATATGGATAATTATCATAATAATTATGAAGGAAAATAAACATTTCGATAATTTCGAACCCAAGTAACTAGTATGGTGGTGTATTTAGAAAAGTTTTGTAATCGTAACTAAAAAAATAACTATTGTCTATTGATTTTTGCTGTTTTATTTGTAATAATTCCGTAATTTCAGAAGGATACACCTATTATCCGTTTTACGAGTAAGGTTTAGATAAAATAATCTGCCTATTTTGATCACTGATTATCCTTTAAGAAATATTATTCCGCTGTAAACTGCAGTATTCAATTTTCTATAATTCTAGTAAATGCATATAAAATTAACTATAAAACGTTTTACGTTATGTGTTAGTATAAATAAATAACTTGTTTATTACACGGAAAATAATAAAACATAATAATAGAATATGGCACATACATCCACGATGTACATTGTACATTTTGCGCAAATCCTTGTTAACAAAAATGGAAGTAAATTAAAACCCACGGTTCGCGGAATAGACAATTGATTTGCTTCCATTTTCTTCGAATTGCGATCTCTTTGTTCTTTCTGTTCAGTAATGACTTAGCTGTTACCGTCAATTACTGTTTTCATACAATTTATTTAATTAATTTGTTCAATTATTATTAGATGCACCCTCGCTCTCGGGGTGAATAACCTAACTACTCGCTACTAGCGACGTTGCAAAATTGTACGTTGAGTCACTCGCCACTGCAGCCACGTGGCTAAGTAAAATATGAATTATAATTTACAAGTGGTCTTCTTAATGGTTTTCCCTGCAATCGACTTTATAAAGATCAAGGAATATGGGCGTTATTATCCTACCTTTGAGAAGTGTTTTCAAAATTATCACGCTCGTGGTGGAGCGGTCTTTGTATTCAGGCTAAAGGTTACAGTTTTATAATGTTTGTTAAGGGGTCAGTCTGGTGTACACAATAAGTAAGTGTAGCCGCAATCAGTTGCATACTTTGATAACGTACGATAAGCGCACGAGGAAACGCACGCGACCAAAATCATGTTAGTGTGGCAAGCATGTACCACATTCTTTATGGGTTACTTATACACAAATACAAATGATTACACACTATTTTAACCTAATAACGGTTTATTATTACAAAAACAAACCAGATGTCATTGTTCGAACCTTGGAACTCTACAGTGGTGCTGTTCAAGACGCAACCCGAATATTTAACACTAACGGCATTCTAAATTATGGACAAGCTTTAAAAAAACATTTTAAAGATATTTTTCGACAATTGGACCTCAAATGAAACTTTTTGCCCTTAACACTAAAGAACAATAGCGCTTTTGTACAAATGGATCCCTCGTACATCTTTTGTCCTAATGGTGCCACGTCCAAAGCTAATCAACACACGTGTTTCGAACAATTCTCAGTTTAAGTTGTAAAATTGTATATCCTAATATAAGTCAGACACTTTGTCTAAGAATGCTACATTGAACACAAAAATCAAAACGCGTTGCCATTCACAAGTTAACCATTATTTACTTCGACACTACTTATCATTTGCAAAGTAACCATCAGTAATTCCATGGACATGTAATTCCTACATTGTTAAGATGTAAGAGTAGTTGAGTACAACCACATAAGTAGTACAACTGTTTAAAACCGTCTTGTCATCGGTGTTAACGCATAGTTTTCAGATACGCTGAGTAAGGGTACTTACAAGAGCGGCATTTCAACAGCTACTACACATCATCTAACTCGAACAAAACGTTGTATAACAAAAGCGCCAAAATACTCTTGAACCACCTTAAATCGTGAACTCATTCGTTAAATATAAATTAATGGTTGTATGAGGCGCTAAATCATTTTAGAAAGGCCTTTATAATTGAAAGTTTATTAGACGAGTACAATCATAAGGCTCACACACAATACTTGTATTGCGTCATTACGTTTATACGACTATTGCAAAGCAACTAATATTAAGTAAGATGATCAATTTGTTTTTTATTGACAACCTAAAGCTTTATAAGTGATATTCAACAGTCAAGCAATAATTATAATCTTACCAGAATGTACAGCAACATCGTCGTCAACGTCCAAATAACCACGTCGAATGCTGATCGGACTATTGACTGCCTGGGATTCGTTCTTCTTAATCAGAGCGCTGATCACTTCTGATTCGCCACCATTATCATCAACAAATTTGTCATAATCTTCAGTTATATTGGTGATCACGGCTGCACGTTCTTCTAGCCCAACTTCTATGTGCCTTGCTGTTATACTTCGCAGCAAAGAATTGCTCCTTGATAGTTTTGTGCTCCGTGATCTTCGTATGAAATTCAATCCGGATATTTTTCCAGGACTTTTATTTGGACTATCCGGTGTCACTGTTATTTTCGGTGTCCTAAATATTGACGTAGAACTACTGCTACCTCTAATAGGCGATGGCACATTGAGATTTTGTGGTAAAGTTTTAGACTTTTCCTTGCCTTGCGCAAGAAGTTTTGGCGAATCTGGGATTAGGGACAAATTCGAGTTTAATATTGAAGCTTTAGATTCAGATTTATTTGCAATACCTGCAGACGAATTGTTAAGAATATTGGACGAGATCGATACTCCCAAAGGGGAGAAAACTCGGTCGTATCGTGGTTCGTATGACGTGGTACTGCGCAACCTTGGTTTTGACTGTCTTCGAACCCCACTTTCTACGACTAGTCTAGGGCTGGTTAGGTCGCGCTGGCCTACTCTCGACAGCG